CTTACTGCAATTTCATTATTTAGCTCAGCTACCCCAGAATTTAATCATCAAAGTTTGTTCTAACGCTTCATAAAAAATCTATGAATCTCATGTTTAATATTATTTGCTGCTAATTAATTAATATTTGAGCTTTAAAGTTTCAGGTCCAACACTTGGGAAGTACAATTCACATCTAAGTAAATAGGTTGTCTGTTTTGTAGAAATCTGTGTACTGTTTGAGAATATAAAGAAAGTAACTAACTTTATTTTGTTGTTTTTGTTTCATCTAAATGGAGAAAGGCACATCTGAAACAAACTATATGCTATTAAAAAACCTTTACATAGAAACTAGTTTCAACATATTCCTGTGTCCTTTACTTGACGAAAAATTAGTCAATATAACTTAACTCAGAATTCTATTGTTGCTGATTTAAAAGATAATAAAATGTATAAACTACAACAATAAACCCAAGTATTTAAACTTATTTTTAAAAACACTTTATCAAGATACACAGTAGTCTGATGTGCAGTGAAAACAACCTGGATAACAAACTGATAGTAATAGAGCTATAGTTATTTAAAACACAATAATAAGACTACACCAGCATTGTAATAGATATCACATATCTGATAGTAATAGAGCTGTAGTTATTTGACACTATAATAACAAGACTACATCAGCAGTGTAACAGACGTAACATCAAGAATATATCAAATATCTGATAGTAATAGAGCTATAGTTATTAGACACTATAATAAGAAGACTACACCAGCATTGTAACAGATATCACATATCTGATAGTAATAGAGCTGTAGTTATTTGACACTATAATAACAAGACTACATCAGCAGTGTAACAGACGTAACATCAAGAATATATCAAATATCCTATAGTAATAGAGCTATAGTTATTTGACACAATAATAACAAGACTATATCAGCAGTGTAACGGATCTCACATGAAGAATATATCAACTATCTGATAGTAATAGGACTATAGTTATTTGACACTATAATAACAAAACTACATCAGCAGTGTAACAGATGTCACATCAAGAATATATCAAATATTTGATAGTAATAGAGCTATAGTTATTAGACACTATAATAACAATACTACACCAGCTGTGTAACAGATGTCGCATGAAGAATATATCTGATAGTAATAGAGCTATAGTTATTTGACACAATAATAAAAAGACTATATCAGCAGTGTAACAGATGTCACATCAAGAATATATCATATATCTTATAGTAATAGAGCTATAAAGTTATTTGACACTATTATAACAAGACTACATGAGCAGTGTAACAATGTCACATCAAGAATATATCAACTATCTGATAATAATAGGACTATAGTTATTTGACACTATAATAACAAGACTACATCAGCAGTGTAACAGATGTCTTATCAAGAATATATCAAATATTTGAATAACTATAGCTCTATTACTATTTAGTGTCAAATAACTATAGTCCTATTACTATCAGATAGTTGATATATTCTTGATGTGACATCTGTTACACTGCTGATGTAGTCTTGTTATTATAGTGTCAAATAACTTTATAGCTCTATTACTATAAGATATTTGATATATTCTTGATGTTACGTCTGTTACACTGCTGATGTAGTCTTGTTATTATAGTGTCAAATAACTAGCTCTATTACTATCAGATATGTGATATATTCTTGATGTGACATCTGTTACACTGCTGATATAGTCTTGTTATTATTGTGTCAAATAACTATAGCTCTATTACTATCAGATATATTCTTCATGCGACATCTGTTACACAGCTGGTGTAGTATTGTTATTATAGTGTCTAAATAACAAGACTACATCAGCAGTGTAACAGACCTAACATCAAGAATATATCAAATATCTTATAGTAATAGAGCTATAAAGTTATTTGACACTATAATAACAAGACTACATCAGCAGTGTAACAGATGTCACATCAAGAATATATCAAATATCTGATAGTAATAGAGCTAGTTATATGACACAATAACAACAAGTCTACATCAGCAGTGTAACAGATGTCACATGAAGAATATATCAAATACCTGATAGTAATAGAGCTATAGTTATTTGACACCATAATAACAAGACTACATAGCAGTGTAACAGATTTCAAGAATATATCAAATATCTGATAGTAATAGGACTATAGTTATTTGACACTATAATAACAAGACTACATCAGGAGTGTAACAATG